TGCTCAGCATCCACCCCACAGGTGAATGAATTACTCAGAATGTGAAGGACTAAAGGGCTGAAAGGCAGAAGGACCACACCACCCCCACAGCTGCACCCCTGGGACAGGCTCAGGGCCACCCGTGCCCCGAGATCCCCGGGAGCACCAGGGGCCACAGCCACACACACACACACACACACACACACACACACTCTCTCTCCCCCCTACGATGCTGCATTTGTTTTGGTTTGGTTTTTGGTTTTTGGTTTTTTTAAACAGAGTCTCGCTGTGTAGCCCAGGCTGGCCTCAAACTCTCGGCAATCCTGCCTCAGCCTCCCAAGTGCTGGGATCACAGGCAGGCATCACCATGGCCAGCTTTGCCAGCGTCTTATACAGCTCAGACCAGGTGGGAAAACCACAGCCCCGCCCCCACCGTTTCCTGTCCCATCAGTACCCCGTCCCTCGGCTTTTCCTCCCTGTCCCAAGCAGAGCCATCTCCCCCCATCCCTGCCAGCCTGGGCCCCAGCTGCCTCCTCTGTACAACGGGGGTGGAGTCTCCAGTTGGAGCAGAGCCAAGGCGGGGCAAAAGGAGAGTCAGGTTCCTGATACCGGCCAGGCGGGTGAGGGCTGTGGGGAGGCAGAGCCCACCCCAGCTCCAGGCTCGGGGAGGGCTGGGGACTCAGGAAGGGACACACACACACACACACACACACACACACACACACACGCACGGGAAGCAGCCCCATCTGGCCTCACAGATGCCCCGGAGGGAGCGGCTTCCGAAGATCAAGGCCGCAGAGGAGATTCAGACCCACAGGTGTTCTGAAAAGGAGGAGCACGGATAGGTGACTTCCTGTCCAGCAGGGTAGGGATGCAGACTTCGAGCAAGAAAGGTCGCCTCTGACGCCCTCCTCCTGTTACCCCATCAGCTGAGAGGAGGCGGAGGGAGCAGCGTGGCCCCATGGAACGGCGCAGGCCCTGATGACATCAGAGCGTCAGGGAAACCAGAGCAGACAGGCGAAGTCCCCGAGGCGGGCAGGCCGGCGCGGGGCTCATCTTCCTGGCGCCACGGGACTGCCCTGGTATCACGGGGCAGTCACACTCAGGCGAACACCTTGCCAATCTCCGGCCGGCAAGGGGACCCAGCCGGTCCGGCGGCCCCGATGCTCGGCAGAGGGCGCAGCGCCAGGTCCACTTGATCTGCACCGAGGCAGTGACAGGCAGCAGGTGGGAGTGGGGACAGGGTGGCCTTGGGCTCCAGGGGGGAAAGCGGCCTGAAGCCGCTGCTCTGGGAGAAAGTCTGCCCCTGTGCCTGGGGGCGGCAGCTCCCCCACTCCTGTCCCAGGCGGAGGAGAGGCCCCTGAAGGGCGGGGATGCGCCGCTCACCATACAAACATCCACTGGGGCCCACCTAGTGACGGGGGCCGGGGCCTGCGGGGTCCTCACCTGGGGCGCGAAGAGGCGGAGGGAAGTTGGCAGACACCGAGGGGCAGCTGTGCTTCAGGGTGAGGGTCCACACCGCGGGGCACCTACCGTGCGCGGGGCTGGGGGGCTCCAAGTGGCGCCCGGCAGGTACGGAAAGACCCACAGTGGGCCAGCTGGGCACCCCAAGTTGGGCGAGAGGGTTGCACCCCTTTCTCTCCCAGGCCAGGCAGCGCCCGGGGTTGAGGTGCCCCAGGCAGCCGCAGTGGTGAGAAGAGAGATTCAAACCCCACATTTCCGAGCAGCCAAGCCTGACGGAGCAGCGACAGCCCCCGAGGCCTCCCGTCCATGCCTCCCGCCTCTGGGGAAGGATTTCTGTCCCCAGTGTGTCAGCAGAGGCAGGGGACAGCCAGGGAGCTCGGGGGGCTCCCCGGGGCAGCCCAACCTAGCCCAGAGTCCTGTACTCTCACAGCCTCATCTGCCCCAAGGGAGAGCAGCCCCTCACACCCAGGCTGGGAAGAGGGCTAAGGAAGTAGGGGCCTGGGTTTCCTGACCCACTGGTCATTCAGTGAATGCTTCTTGAGCAACTACTATGAGCCGGGGCTGTGCTAGATGCTGGGGAAGCAGCAGAGAACAAAACAGACAAAAAACCCCTGCCCTTGTAGACCACAAACTAACAAATAAAAACAGATGAGTCCAGTGCTATAAAAAGGTACAGAGCAGGGCCCAAGGAGCAGAGTGACAAACTAGAGAGGGGGCCGGTGTAAGACGGGTGGCCAGAGGGGCCTCTCTGAAAAGGAGACACCTGAGTGTAGGAGGATGTGGGCCCCGTGGATATACAGGGAAAGAGCTTCCTGGGCAGCCAGCACAAGGGCCCTGAGGTCAGCTGGGGCCTGGTGATTTCAGCAGTGAGCAGGCTGGTGTGGCTGGGGAAGAGATGGGAGGGAAGGAGAGGTGGGGCAGCGGTCAGGGCAGTGTGGATCCTGGGGGCTCCCGCAGGCTGATACCCCAGGCACCACACCCCCTCATGCGGGAGCCTCGGTGGCTGGGGCCCCAGAAGCCAGGGGCCCAGCAGTATGGCCCAGATGGGCCGGGGCTGGCACCAGCGCGCAGGTTCTCCTGGGCTGGCCCACTCGGCCTGCTGGGCACCCACTGTTCCAACACGGGCATCGGAATGCGCGGAAGTCACTGTCGCCACTCAGCACTCGGGCGGCGGCGGCAGGAAGTCAGACCAGCGCCTGGTGCCCAGTGTCCCCAGAATTCCAGCGGGGCCGGGACTCGGCGGGAGGGGCTGCACTTCCTGTCTGTCCTCCAGGACCAGGCCCAAGCCCAGGCTCCTTTCTGCGGTGCCTGCAGGGCCCAGCTTGTCCCTCAGGTCCAGGCCTGGGTGCGGCCAGGTGCAAGATTCACCTGCAGGACAGGGCCCGCCCACTTCCTTCATGTGGCCCAGCCCAGGGAGGGGTCCGCCTGCCGCACTCAGCCCCGAGACCTGATCTGGTGTCCCCCAGTCCCCAGCTCCCCGTCACCCACACGGGCCCAGCCGGGGCACTGCTGCCTGCACGAGACCCCAGCCGCCGCACCACTCCACTGGCGTGGTGGCTGGGCCCCGGGCAGCTGACCGAGTCCTGGTCCAGGCCCAGGCTCTGTCTCGGGGCCACAGCGCCTCCCACTCCCCCCCTTTTCCCAGAAGAGGAAACAGAGGCTGAGGGACTCTGGGTCCCTGGAGAGCCACACGCTGCGGCCTCCCTGATGTGAGCCGGTGGCAGAGGAACAGAGGCCTCCACGCCTGCCAGTGCCTGCGGAGCCTCAGTTCCTCACCTGTCAAATGGGGACGAGAACACCTAGCATGCTGATCGGTGTTGGGACAGGCAGGCAGGGCCGGGACAGGGCAGAGCATGAGTGACCCGGGCGAGGGCCTGGTGCTGAGGGCACTGGGCCGCTTCTTTATTCTTTTGAGACAGGATCTTGCTCAGTCACTACATTTTCAAACTTGAGATCCTCCTGCCTCAGCCTCCCAGAGTGCTGGGATCACAAGTGTGCGCTCCCACGCCTCTTGGACTTCCTTTAAGCCCTGTGCCAATGGCCTAGGTCAGCACTGGGCCATTCCAGGGGTCACCTCGGGCCTGTCCAACCCAGAGGACAAAGACAGCTTCCTGTCCCAGCTCGGCCTCAGTCAACTCATCTATAAAATGGTCATAATCTCACCCCTCGGAGGGACCCACAGCCCAGCCGAGGGCCTGGGACCCGCTCACCACCCCTCTGCTGTGCGTCCCAGCCACACGCACAGCGTCCCGCTCCCTCATCCCCTCCTGTTCCTCTGAGCCACTCGCAGATGATCTGTACTTCAGGACGAATCGATACAGTACACGGAACGACGTCTTTAATCTTCGCAGGGATTAGGCTACAAGGTGCACCCGCTTTCTGCCCGCCGCTCGATTCTGATTTCAATTTGGCCAGCACCGAGCACGGCTTTCTCTCTTTGCTTCCACCAGCTCAGCCACTCCCAAAGCAAAGCTGGGGGCAGGGAACCCGGCCCCTCACGCCCAGGGAGAGGCCCAGCCAGGGCCCCTGCTCCCCTGACTCGGGACACAGAGGGAGGGGGCCGCGGGGCCCCCTGGGGCTGTGGGGCAGGGGCTGGGTCTCGGGCTTCCCCAGGCTGTGCAGGCTGCATCTGCTCCTAACTCCCCAGCACCGGACTGAGATGCTGGTGAGGTGCGGACAGGGGCAGGCGGAACATGGATGTGAGGGCAGCTAGGACCTCTCCTCCTGCAGCCTCCTCCACCCTGACGTGTGGTGCGACCTGGGACTGTCCATGGCGGGGCCTTGCTGGCCCTTGATTTACCCTGTGCATTGGGAATGAGCACCACCTGCCTGGCCAGGTGGGGGGACAGCTGGCGAAGCAGGTGCCGGGCCCCTGGGGCCATGGGAGGCCTGGGGTTGCCTGCTAGGTCCTCTTGGGCAGGGCCAGGGCACAGCAAGACCGGGCCTTCTGTCCCTTCCTGTCCAGTACCTCTGCCCCAAGTCCTGCAAAGGAGAGCTGGAGGAGGACCGGGCAGTGCCGGGCAGGGGCAGAGGGAGGGACACGGGGCCTGCAGGGGGCAGAGCGGGGCTGTGCCCCACGGGGTGCTGACCGCCAGCCACTTGGAGGGGGGTCCCGTCCATCCTCGTGTCCCTCACCAGGCTGCAGCCACCCAAGCGGCTTCCCGGAACAATTAAAGGGCTCCCAGGGGGTTGACAGCAGGATTAATCCACGGGGCCTACCTCCGCCCACCTCGGACGTGCTGGGGCCTGAGGAGCAGCAGTGAATCCTGGGGCCACGCGGGTACACACGAGGGCAGGGTGCCAGCCGCTATGTGGAGCCGGACCAGGAGGGGACGGAGGGCTCCGCAGGGACTGTGCACATCCAGCCCTACCCCGGCACCTCGGGAGCCCTGCGCCACAGCCCGCACAGGGGCCCGAGCCACACGGCCCCCACATGGGAGGGGCCTTCGCTGCCCCCGCAGGGTGGCCCAGCACGAGGGAGGCCACCGGCCAAGCCCCAGTGCTCAGAGAGGGGTGAGCCCACAGGGGCGACCGGCCAGGCCACCCTCCCTACTCACCGTCCTCGCGGGACTTGTGGACGAAGGCCTCCACCCCGCTCTCGCCGTAGCTGCCCTCTGAGGCCAGCGTGGACACGTAGTTCCACCTGAGGGCACGGACGATGTCCACCATGGCCTGCGCCTGGTGCGTGTCCGAGGGCACCACGCGGGAGAAGAAGTCGTAGCGGCTGCTGTCGCTCAGGTCGGGGGCTGTGGAGGCGTAGCTGATCTGGGGGATCTGGGGGCGAGAGGGACGGCTGAGGGGCACTGGCACCACACCCTGCACACCACCCGGACCCACCCGAAGCAAGGCCTCCTCTCGCGTGCCCTCTGGAGTGGCAGGGGCCCTGTGGGGTGGGCAGAGACAACCCCCCGGGCCCATGCGGGTCGGTCAGCCGGGCCGATGGCCCCAGCCAGGGCTCCTGTGTCACCCACGCCCCAGATCCTGTCCACCCCAGTGTGCGGCTGGCCTTGGGCTGACGGTCCCCAAAGACACACACATGCACACACGCACACACATGTGCACACACGTGCGCGTGCACAAACACACACACACACGCATGGCTGGAAGCTCTCAGGCCAAGCTGGCAGGATGTCTTGGCCTGCAGTTATGGGCAGAGGCGGGTGTCCGTCCTCCATCCCCAGGAAGCCCCTCTGTCTACAGAGCAAGCCCTGTGCCCATGGCTCCTGCTGGGCTAGTGACCCTCTGTCCTGTGCAGCCCAGGTGCAGCCCCCACCCGGGGCCTCCTGAGGGCCTGAGACCAGGCCCCTGGCTGCAGCCGGCCATCCTCAGGGGACCCTGCTCCCCACCTGCACCTCCCCACCTCACAGCTCCCCCACGGGCACCAGCTCTGAGGCCCCCGCCCGCTGCCCTGGGGCTGGCCAGGCCCTGGGTCTCCCTCCCCCTCTGCCCACGTGGACACTCAGACTTCCTGTGCTCAGATCCTCGCCCTGGAAACCTGGGGGGATTGCTGCAGCTGAGGAGGGGCCTGCCTGGGGCTGTGGGACGCTGGCAGGTACACATGGATGGAGGAGGCAGCACCCGAACTCAGCTCAGCCTCGGGCCTCGCTAAGGAGCCTGGGAGCTAGGCAGCTGGCATCAGCTGGGAGACAGAGGGGCAGGAGGCAGCGGGTACATGGGGACGGCGGGGGCTCTGGGGCAAAGGGGGTACAAGAACCTGGGGCGGCTCACACACTTGGGAGTAGATGACGCATCCTAACGGAGGTCCAGTGTGATCTGGAGATGGCTGGGGGAGGCTGAGGCAGGACAGACAGGTGCGAGCTGCCTGGAGGAGTCTGAGGCAGACTGGCGGCCACGGGAGCCATGGGTCTTGGTGGGCAAGGGTGGGGACACTGGGGTTGGAGGCCACCATGCCTCAGAGGCCATGGCCACTCAGGGCCGCATGGAGGGCTGGCCAGGGACACGGAGGCAGGGAGGGGAGAAGGCCAGGGACGGGGGGCTGCAGCCCTCACAGGAAGGCCCCGAGGGTTGGGAGAAAATGGGAGTGCAGGGAGGCCGGTGCGGGCGGGGGGCCTGGCAGGGGACCCCTCGGGACTGTGGGGCACACAGAGAAGGGCAGGGAAGGCTGCAGCGTGCACAGGCTGCTCCCAAAGTCGGGGGTGGAAGAGGAGAAACCGGGCGGAGTGGGGGGGCTGTCGGCTCCTGACAGGGGTCCCCTCCAGGGCCACACGAGGGGCCTGTCCCCTCCCACAGCCGCCCTCCCCATTCCCCCTGGGGCTGCCCACCGTGCTGGCCACTTCCCCTCAGTCCTGGGGCCCATGTGGCTGCTCCACCTCGGCTGCTCCTGCGGCCACCCCCCCACACACTCTCAGGAGCCTGTCACCACTCAGCAGTGATTCACTGAGCACAATCCTGAGCACCGGTGGAGTGGATTCTCGTGGGTGAATCGGTCAGAAATGAACACCACAGCCGGAGGTGGGTGCTGCTCAGGCCCTGCCAAACCCTGCCAGCGCCTGGCTTCCTGCCAGCGGTAACATCACAGCTCTGGCAAGTCCGGCTGATGCGCATCCCCAGGGCCACAGTGCAGGGCTGCAGGCCCGGCTCCCTCTGCCACTGGGACAGCCAGGAGCCAGGAAGGCGCGGGGCTGAATGGAACGGAACGGAACTGAATTCACACACACGCACACACGCACACACGCACACACACACACACGCACGCGCAGTCAGCAGCTGAGACACAACAGACGTTTCTTAGGTTTCCCATGTGCTGGGAACTGTCCTAAGGGATTTCAGACACCTGAACACCTCTAATCATATGGGGACCCTGTGAAGCAGGTCTTCTTATTTGCCTCATTTTTCTAGAACTGAGGTACAGAGAGGTTAAGAAACTGGCCCAAGGTCACACAGCGAGTGAGTGGCTGAGCCAGAATTTGAACCCAGGGGATGCACTCCAGAGCCAATGCCATTAACTGGCAGGGAAAGCTCAGACTCCCGCAGGTGACCCCCTTCCACACGTGACGCACGCATATGGAATCTGAGGGCGTGAGGGCCACCCACATCTCCCGTGGGGCAGGTCCCCGGGCAGGGGCAGCAAGCGCCAGCCCAGCCTCCTCTCCTGACTGCTACCCGTGAGCGGCAGTGGCCCAGGTGTGCCCAACACAGAGGACAGCCAGGGCACGGCCTGGGGCCCAGAGGCTGTGTGAATGGCTCTGCTTCGAGCAACAGCTAATTTCTGGACATAATTATTAATTGCATGCTTATCGTATGCACACCTCTGTCGCTCAGATGAGGTGAAATTGATTTACTTAGAAATTCCACCATCAAGCCCTTTGGATCCGAGCATTTCACGACAGTCCCCGGCCCCAGGCCTCCCTCACCACAGGGCCCGGCCAGGTAGAGCCCTCACAGCTGCCCCCAGGTCACCAGCAGCCTCTCCTCTCTCCTGGCTGCATAACGGGAAGTCCCCAGGGCAGAGCTGGCATCGTCCTGCGGCCAGGGACGGGGGAGTTCGACGAGGCCAGAAGGCAGGACCCGAGCCTGGCGGTCCTCTCCGGCAGCCTCCCAACAGCGCCTCCGTGCCACAGGCCGTCCTGCCATCGCCTGAGTGGCACGATCGCACACCTGCCCTCCGACCTGCGCCCACCCCAGCCTCTCTGACAGCTGCTGCCACACGGGCCCCTGCCCTGTCACCCTAGGGGCCGCCAGGCCACCTGCCTCCTGCCACCACAGCCACCATCACTTCCCAAGGTGCTCTCTTCTCCTTAGCCCATTTATCATCCACCCCCCACCGAAACATCGGCTCGGGGCCCACGCGTCCTTCGATGCCTGGGCCCAGGGCAGTGACGGGCAGGGGACAAGCCTGCTGAGGGGACAAGTGCCACAGTGCCGCAGAGCGGGTCGCTTGTGGCCTGGCCCTCCATGGGGGGGGCCTGGGCATGGCGGTGGCCCTAAGCGGCAGCCCTGGCAGAGCCAGCAGTGGACGGGGCTCAGTCTCCCTCCTCCCTCCCCAGGATCTGGTGCTCCTCACCACCGAGGCCTCTGCACTGAGTCCCTGACCTGTCAGCGGCACCCCTGAAGGTGTCCAGCCTCTTATCGGGGGGCCCAGCGACCCCAGATTATTTCCAGGCCTGTTCTGAATTGCGTTTTCCAGGAGAGAACAGACAGGTGCGCCACCAGGCACTTGAACAAATCCTCCCCAGGAAGGAGCTTTCTTCAGTCCTCAACTCGGCCTTAATCATCATGAGAAAACCCCCCTCAGCCAAGCTGCAGGAGAAAAGAGGGGCCGGGTGGGCCAGGACAAAGGAGTGTGGGGCAGCAGAGTAGATAAGAGCCAGGCAGGCGGGGAACGTGGGCCAGCGAGAACAAACGAGATCCCCAAATCAGCACTTGTCCTGTTTCATAGGCGAAATGTAGATCGATAAATTACACTCACTTTGCCGGCTTTACATGCTGACTCCGGCACCTTGTCAAGCGTGATCCACGAGGGCTGGAGGGGGCAGCGGGCGGCAGGAGGGGCCCCAGGCCTGGTGGGAAGTGGGGACCACGCCGCAGCCTCCTGGGCACAGCGGCTGCACCCCCCATCAAGCTCCCAGGGGTGAGGAGCAAGTGACTGCGACTTTGGGCTTCACCCTGTCGTCTGTCAAGCAGCACCACAGCGGGGATCTGGGCTTTGTCAAGTTCACCTCGAGGGTCCCACGAGAGAACAGGGGATGCAGAGCTCTCGAGGAGGACAGGAAGTCACCACCATCCCTTTCACACACGCAAGGTGCAGCAGTCTCAAATGCAGATCGAGAGCCGGGGGCAAGGCGGGATTTGAACCCTTGTCTGTGTGGCTCCACCCACTGAGCACTCGCAACCCTGTTCCTCACCTGGCACCACAGCCCCAGAAGCAGCTGGGAGGAACAGGGCTCCACGCTCCTGAACTCACCGGCCCTCAGTCTGACACACGCTGCTGCGGGGCCTGTACATCTGAAAGCCTCCTCCACAAACGCAGCTGCCGACTCACAGGCAGTCCCACCGCATCCTGACCACCGGGGCGGGGCGGGGCGGGGCGGGGCGGCTGGAGGGTGAACCATGGCCTCCTGCGCTCAGGGCGAGCTAATGCACGGTGCCGGTAATATACGGCGCTGTGTTAATATGAGATGATATAATGGGATGAGTTAGCATTATTGAACACGTGAACCGATAAAAGTCACATCGCCATTGCGGTGTGATTTATGTCACTCTGGGCTGGGCTGGGCAGCTGCCCAGGCAGCCAGGGAGGAGGCTCCGCTGGGCTCCAGGGGCTGCAGTGGGGGGCCCCAGGAAGGGGCACCGGCTCCAAGGGGGCATTGCCCTGCACAGTGCCCTCCCTGTCGTGGGCAGCCCTGGTCCGCTGCCCTGTCCCCTTCCCGGCCCCATGCAGAGGCCCCAAGGCCCACTGCAGTGCCTTCTGTCTGCACTGAGCACTGGGCATGGCATCCGTCTGCCCACCTCACAGGCCCTGCAGCCCAGGCCTCACCACTGCCCACGCGACAGGAGATGAAGATGCCCCAACCAGGCTCCCTCAAGCCGCCCACTCCCCTGGCGTCCCAGGTGCAGCCGCAGAGCTGAGCTCCTGTGCCGGGGCCCCCAGAGCCTTTCCCAGCCGCCCTTCCCGCTCCCGGGCCACAGCACTGGACACATTCCAGCCTGGAGCCTTTCTCCCAGCCCAGACCTGACTGAACAGCACTTGCTGTTGGCTCTGCTCTGAAACTAAACCCAAAACCCAGCCAGGACTCTGACTGTGCCCAGGCTGC